TATCGTGTGACAAAATTCGGTGAAAGTCTGGCAGGCACAACACATTTGCAATTCAATGACAACGTTGTCCTTATCAGCGACGGTACAAGCCGAGGTTTGAGCCCCAAGACCGCCATCCAACTTTGGTGGTGAGCAGGTTTGCAGCCACCAGCTTCCATACGTAAGCCTGACCTAGTGAGATCTTATCTAGGTGTCTTGTTATTACATTGCATTTGTAGTCGCCCTTGAATGAGAGACGTATATAAATTTCCCTTTGTCTAACTGTAGTTACCATTGGTCTTCTGAATCTCTCACGTAGATTCCATTAAATAAATCTCTTGGGGTAACAATTATCTAAGTGTCTGCCTTAGCCGGGTCGATTCCGACTCCTGGCATTCTGCTTAACATATATTTGAGAACACACATTCAGAAGCGAACATTTGTTTTCACTGGTTCGTTTTCCAGCCTGTACTGATCAAATAAGGAATGGACATGTTGAACGGGGATAGAAATTCAGTCATTCAAAAGTCACGGTAATCGGTCGAAAGGAAGAGGAATGGGGGAGGTGAGGTGAGTGGTGCGAGCCTGTGAGTACGCATAACAACCTGGCAACACTGAAGGTTCCTCTCACAGCACGCGCCAAGTTTCCTAATCAGATCCGACAGGTCGTCTCCTTTGAATGGCAGTTTAATAAACAGCTTCTTCTTCGCAGCTTCCTGAACGGGATCTCGAGAAACCTTTCAAGGTATCCGTTTCCCCTTAGAATGTTTTTAATCTGATCAATTTCATCTGCGAACGCGGATCCGGAGCATATCCTTCGTGCACGCGAGACAAGGCACTGAGCGAAGTTTCTCTTTTGTCCAAGTGGCACGAAACTGTGAAAGCTGTTGTACTGTCCGGTTCACAATTCTTTTCTGTATACCCCTCTTTCAAACAGCCCATCAGTTGTCTTGTGCAGAGCTAAGTCGGGGAATGCTAGTTTATTATCTTTCTCTGCCTCTACAGTAAACCTTATGGATTTGTGAGCCTTGTTAAACGTTTGCGTGATGTGGTTTGGGTCGTTCTCTTTGTCAGTTATGCAAAATACATTGACATACCGCTTATAGAATTTCATGTTTTTAATTTCGGATTACAGGACTGAGTTCTTCAGTCTGTCCATGAATACATCCGCTAATATCAGTCCTAGTGCGGAGCCCATTGCGACACCATTCCTCTGACGATACAGCTTGCCGTAGAATAGAAACTGGACATCGAAAGTGCGTTTCAGGAGCAGTTCTTTAAGTTTTTTACCGGTACGTTTTATCGATTTCACTTTCTTAGATGCAGTTACAGATGAAATCAACCGTTCCCATGAGCGGAACCCACAATTATAGAAAACATTCAATCGTCGATAATCTTCTGTTTTCTGAACGTGTTCACGAATTCAAGTGTCCCGTAGGCTTTATTTGACTACTTGCCGTCGGATTGGCTCTAGAATTTTCACCGGCAATTTCGCGGTGCCGTAATACGGGAAGTCGACCATTGATAGAATAGGTCGCAAAGGTAAGCCCGTCTATTGAACCTTTGGTAACCCGTGCAGACATGGGATCGTGGATCCACGGAGGCTATCCTTGATTCGCTTCTCAATATGCGCGGTTTTGTTAAGATCTTCGGGAAGGTGAATTAATTTAGTCTCATCGGTCAACAACTCTGATAAATAGTGAATGTAATCCGATTTGTTCATGACTACGATTCCGGCTCCCTTATTCGGCTTACTCAGTACGATGTAATCTCGTCTTTCGATTGATTTCAGTTCGTCCAAATGTTTTCTAGTCAGTGGTCCGCGGTTACGTGGACTATCGACAGAGTCGAAGGCCGCGCGGATGTCTAAGAATACAATGACCATTGGTCTTGGATAAGCGTGACCGTGCTCCAGTATCTGTCGGAGGGTGAAGATTTGATCGATGCATCCACAACAAGCTTGAAACCTAGTTTGCTCCTCACGCCCAGTG